TAAATAATTAATAATATATTTTCTATAATTTTCACACTCAATTTGCTGACAAAAATAAAAATAAAAATAAATTGTTGGAAAGATAAATAGCCCAAGCCCCTGCTAGACAAGTCAGCCCCCTGGGCCTGATTTGGTCAAGCCTGCACCTGAGGCCAGCCTTGCTTGGGCCTGCTTCTCCAGCCCTTGGGTCCTGACCAGCCAAAACCTGGATCGAAATAAAAAGTCTGGAAACATCAGGGATCAACGCGTAAAAGATTGTGTAATTTGTATACAACTGCCTGGAAAAGACGCAGAAATCACAAAAAGATTGAGCTTCAATGAACACTGATAACGAGTCTGTAGCTACAGTAACTGAATAGTGAAAATGCTAATTCTTTTTTATTTTATTTTTATAATATCCATCCTTATGTAGAACTCTTCACTCATGTAGGCTTAAATGACTTTCCAGTATAGTTGTCAGTTGATGGTTCTATAAGTGGGAGTACGGCATGGTTAGCTGTGTTTTTGTTGTTGCCATCCAACGGTTGAGCAAGTGTGATGCAACACAATCTCACGTCAATTAGGAATAAAAAGTTTGAACTCTTTATATATAAAATAGACTTATAATCTATTAGTCTGATGTTTTTTAATACAGATCTTCCCTGCAAATATATATCAACCAATACATATCTTCCTAATGTTAAAAAATAAGGTGATAACTTCGAAGTTTAACTCACTTCTGGCTATGTAAAATGATAAACAGAGTAGTTTTTGGCTTTATTTTAACTTTAACGAAGTCTCCGGCAATTTCGTGTCTTGTAGTAGTAGGACCTGAACTGCATTCCCGGGAGTTGATAGTTTTATTATTAATTGCAAATGTTAACGAAAAAGATATAATTGTTATTTCTTTTTTAAAAAATTAAGGTACAGTACCAATTAGAGTTTTTGTGTAATATTATAATTCATAGCCAAACACGCTGCTGAAGACGGCGACATTGACATTTGATTTTCATAAATTGGATTTAATTTGTCTAGCTAAAAGAGGAATCCCTGCGCTTAGATGTTTCTGACCATCATTTGCCAAAACAAGCTTTCATCAGCCTTGCAGGTTAATGTTGTTGATATCTTTGTTTGTTTTTCCGAGAAGTTTTGTATTCAGAACTTTTCTAGAGCAAATGGCCTAGACTCGGGAATTGCTATGTATAATAGCCGTTAAAGGAACCTAATTCAAGAGCAAATAGCCTAAGATTAAACTCCGCTGAACTTTCAATCCTCAAACGCACGAAGTTTGTTAGGAAAATTGCTTAACATGTAAAATAAACGAGTTTTTAATTTTATTTTTCTATCAAAATCAACATAATATACACATGACTTGATATTATATTGAATATGATCTTGGAGTAAAAAAAGAATTAACCCAAATTGTCTTTATATTTTAGACTCGATCTCCAATATGTCCTTAAAATTATGATTGTTCTCAATTTATTTTTAAATCTACCATTCTAACAAATATTTTCACGCAAACTAACGAAAATGAGAAAATTGCAATTTAAAATCAAATCTTTATTTTTTTTATTTTGTTTGAGTGTTTGACTTTTTATTCTATTTATTTGAGCATCCAAATCTTTGATTTTTTTTTTCATTTGATTTGTCTGCAAGGATTGATTTTAAAAATAATGATGCGATGACAATCTCTAACTAACTTATGAAAAAAATGAGTCCCACCTGTACTTATTGACAAAAAAAAATTATAAAAGAAAAAATATGCCAGAAATTGGAGAAAAAATCAAAATCAAAACAGTACAAATTTTGAAAATGAGAACTTGAATTAAAGAGAAAACTCCGTTTTCATTTTTTTTTTTTACTATTTTGATTTGTTTTTCTTTCTTTCTTTTTTCTAATTTTTGTCACTTGTTTTCTTTCATAATTTTTTATTTTTCTTCACAAATACAAGTGGGATCTACTTTTTCTTATGTGTTAGTTGATTTCGAACACATCATCATTTTTAAATTTCAAGCGAAGCAGAAACTCAAATATAAAAGAAAATAAAAAATTAGACACCCAAATAGATAAAATAAAAAACTACAGACCCAAATTGTAGTTTTCTCTGCATACCATTAGTTGAGAAACTCAAACTCAATTAATTTATTCAAAAAACTAAATTTGAAAAGAAAACAAATAGTCAGGTGGTGTTACGATTCAATTTTTTTTTTCATGGTTATATGTATATGTTTTTAATAAATTCGGTCATGTTTGAGTTTCTCATAGAGAGAGGTTTTGGTGGTGCCCAACCTTGATTGTTTTTTTTTAATGCCCAACTATTGATTTCTCATGATTTGCTACCTAAGCTTTGTTGTTTTTATTTGTTTTGACACTTGAATTCATCTAAAATCTAATTTTACTGACGTATCCGACGAGATTTGACACGTTATAATAAAAATGTTGCATGACAGCCAACTTTACCATGCAGTAGTCAACTCAGCCACGTGGCATTCAATCCTGCCATGCAGCAATAGTCAACCTTGCCACATGGTGATAAACTTTGCCATGTGTCTAATACTTTCAGGTAGTTATGGCCTTATGGGCATCGAAATAGAAAGAAAAATCAAAGACTAGGCATTGAAACAAAAAAAATTAAAATAAAAATTAAAGATGGGGTATCAAAAATATAGTTTTTTAAGAAATTTTTTGTTTCGAGATTGCAAAATTAATTCAACAATTTCTAATAAATATTTTTCACATCATGCTCGTGGCATTTTTTTTACTCGTACGTAGTAATTTTTAAGACTCTATATCGATTAAAAATTACTTTAAAAAATTCTAAATCCCTTTGCACGTCTAGAAAAATTTAAAATTATGTCATTTAATCCAAATATATATAAAGTGCAATTAAAATTAAATTTAGAAAAATAAAAGACATATAAGATCCAATTGTGATTGCCATTTGCGGAACAAATGTTATCAATGGAGAAAGTTGCAAAAAATAAAAATTGCTTCATCTATTAAGGGAGAAAATTGATCAACATATCATAAGTAACATAACCTTGTTGTAGCCAATAACTTGTTGAAATTCTTATATTAAGGTAAGATGGGATAAAATTGACATAAATAAGTATAGTGATCAAGCTTTTTGATCTAAGCGTTTAAAATGTAATATTTTTTACAGCGATGACAATAATGATAGAGGTAATAAGTAAATTAGGAATTAATCTAAAAAGTAAATACGTTGTTAAAATTGTTTGTGTAATTAGCATAATAACTAGAAAATATGTTAGAATTTAAAATTATAAGACTTTTAATATAAAAAAAGTTTTGAGATATTATATATATATAAAGATGATGGAAGCACGAGGAATGCATGAAATCTATTTATAATAATAATAAAAAAGATATATCGAGTACAAGAAGGAGGTAAACTATGAATTAATCTAAAAAGTAAATACGTTGTTAAAATTATTTGTGTAATTAGCACAATAACCGGAAAATATGTTAGAATTTAAAATTATATGACTTTTAATATCAAAAAGAAAATTTTGAGAGATTATATATATATATCAAGATGATAGAAGTACGAAAAATGCATGAAATCTATTTATAATAATAATAAAAAAGATATATCGGAGTACAATAAGGGAGTAAACATTTTGTTTGAGAAAACTAAAATAAATTTCTTGAGAAAACTATATTTTTTGTATCCAGCAATTGATAGTTTTTTTTTTCTATTTAGGTGTCTAATCTTTAATATTTTTTCTATTTCAATGCCTAAACTTTGATATTTTTTTTAATTTTATTTGAGTGTTCATAGCTACTTGAAAGTATGAGGTATTGATGTGATATGGTTTACTGTCATGTCATAGGTCTCACCAGATATATTAACAAAATTGAACTTCGGGTAAACTCGAATATCAAAATAAACAAAAAATCAAAACTTGAATAACAAATTATTGGCTATCAATGATCGGGTATTAAAACAAAAAATACAAAAAACAAAAAAAAAAATTGGATATTAAGAAAGTCTTTCCCTCGTTTCTCATATGAGGATATTTTCTTTAATTTTGAAGGGAATATCTAAGAAAACAACAAGTTAAAAAATAAAACTATATTCAGGAACAAACTGGAAGCAATTAAACTTTTAAAGATAAACTAGAGAGTAGACTGGAGATCTAAAAACAAGTCGGGCTAATTCTCTTTTTATCCGAGGACTATGTTTTATATGATATTAAGTGATTTGTATATCACGTAACGGATTTTGATGGTTTGATAAAAAAATATCATAAAAAAATAGATTAAAAAATCACTTAATTTACAAAAACATAATTGACGGAGTTAAAGATACAATGATGGGGTTAATCGTATCAAAAGTCCTTCCAATCCTTTAATTTTTTTTCTTTAATGCGACAACCACTATGTATATTCTTTAAGTTTCTTAACGTGGGCCAATTTTCTATTTAGAACTGATAGACGACCAAAAAAAAATAAAATTGGCGTCCCATGTCAAATTAATTTGCTTTTGTGGCAAAAAAATAAAAAAAAATTGAAAATAGAGAAAAAATAGAATAATAATTTGAAAACCAAAAAAATAATAATAATAATAATTAAAAAAAAAAAATTCAACCGCATCTGAACGAAAAACAACCCAATTCCACAATTTGAATCTAAAGTTCTTTTTTCACAAATTCAAGCCAACTCATTAAAAGCTAAATCGACAATGAAATTGAAATCCTCGCAATCACCCATGCCATTAAAAAGCTAAATCTAACTTACAAAATCAATAATTTGAAAACGAAATACTCACCAGTCACCACGAGAGATCCTACTTTTTACCCAAAATCGATCAAGAATGAGCCAGTACAAAGAGGGATAGAGATTTTTCATCCAAAATCAAAAGCTCATGGACTGAACTTTATTAGCTCCAGAAATCTAGGTACTATTTGACGCATTTGTTGTTGTGGGTAGCTGGAAACAGTCTGAAGCCATCGAATCGAGACTGGGGAAGGTTTGATCCACATCATAAAAGATAGTCAAGGGTTGTCGATTGGCTGTCGTGGCTTGGGGATGCCGGAGAGAGGTGGATCGGCAACAAGGATAGAGAAACTTTGGAGAGGCTGTCCTGGCTTGGGGATGCCGGAGAGAGGTGGATCGGCAACAAGGATAGAGAAGATTTTGTCAGAGAGGAGGATTTCGATCGGGAAATGCTTCTTTGTCACTCTCTCTTGTCGTTGCTCTTCTTCTTTGTCCTCCTCTGTATCACCAGTCTCTGATGAAGGATATGAAGTGAACCCATCAGAACCAGTTTCTGATCCAAGACTTTCAGTGCATATCTCAAGGCTCTTCTCGCTTAAAGAACTTGTTGATCTTTTAACAAGAGGGTGGACAGGTTGAGCATTCTTGAAGTCCTCTTTTGCCTTCACATCCAGGTATATATGTACGTTAGATATATGCCCAAATTGGTTGTAATTATAAACCAGTAGTAATTAATATTTGCTTTTGTGGGCTTGATAATTGAAGATTAATGCTAGCTAGGACGTTGTGTTAGAGTATTCAAGAGGAATACTACTATACTTCTGAGTTTGTTTTCCAGAGGATAAGCTGCCAATGACATGCTATCCGCAAGACTACCTTGCTAAGGTGCCAATGACAAACATGGGAATGAGAGCAGACCCATCAAAGAGGTTATCCCGGTGGAACCTACCGATTCTATAATAAGCTCCACACCTCAAATTGTCCTGGCTTTTCAATCTCTTTCTTGTTCTTGTCTTCTTGAATTCAGCTGCAGATATGGAACTTTAGGCCTGTCTTTAAAATCCTCGTCTTCTGAAGATGAAGAGTGTGATATTATTACAATCTGGGAATTGGTCAGATGATGCACTTTTATTGAGTGGATAGAACCCATGTTGGGCTTGCCGTTTCTTGGAGGACATATCAGCTAAGAGAGTTCTCCAGTTTTTTTTTCCTTAAATTATTATTCTAATGTTTTTTTTTTTTTAATTTCTATTTTGCAGATAATTTTTCTGATCGCAACGTGACTTTTTTTTTTTTTTTTTTTTGCCATCTTTCAGTTTCATCAGAACCAGTTTCTGATCCAAGACTTTCAGTGCATATCTCAAGGCTCTTCTCGCTTAAAGAACTTGTTGATCTTTTAACAAGAGGGTGGACAGGTTGAGCATTCTTGAAGTCCTCTTTTGCCTTCACATCCAGGTATATATGCACGTTAGATATATGCCCAAATTGGTTGTAATTGTAAACCAGTAGTAATTAATATTTGCTTTTGTGGGCTTGATAATTGAAGATTAATGCTAGCTAGGACGTTGTGTTAGAGTATTCAAGAGGAATACTAATATACTTCTGAGTTTGTTTTCCAGAGGATAAGCTGCCAATGACATGCTATCCGCAAGACTACCTTGCTAAGGTGCCAATGACAAACATGGGAATGAGAGTAGACCCATCAAAGAGGTTATCCCGGTGGAACCTACCGATTCTATAATAAGCTCCACACCTCAAATTGTCCTGGCTTTTCAATCTCTTTCTTGTTCTTGTCTTCTTGAATTCAGCTGCAGATATGGAACTTTAGGCCTGTCTTTAAAATCCTCGTCTTCTGAAGATGAAGAGTGTGATATTATTACAATCTGGGAATTGGTCAGATGATGCACTTTTATTGAGTGGATAGAACCCATGATGGGCTTGCCGTTTCTTGGAGGACATATCAGCTAAGAGAGTTCTCCAGTTTTTTTTTCCTTAAATTATTATTCTAATGTTTTTTTTTTTTTTTAATTTCTATTTTGCAGATAATTTTTCTGATCGCAATGTGACTTTTTTTTTTTTTTTGCCATCTTTCAGTTTCAAACGGAAAATTAGTCGGATTTTAGTGAGATGAGCTATATCAAAAAAAATTAAAAAACACAGATAAGTGTTAAATAATAAAAAAAATAAAAATACAGAAGCTATGGTTAAAAAAAAAAAAAACCAAAAGGGGTATGTTTGATGCAATCAACTCATGTAATGATAGATTGGACAACAACCCTGTTATACAAGGATAGGTTGGGTCATTTCTTCTGTATTAAGTTTCAAATGTTGCTTGATTATTAGAAATAAAATCAAAACAAAAATTAAGAAATCAGAATCATTTTTTTTTTTTTAGTATTGTGTTTGGAATAGAAATAAGAAATCATAATAAAATTTAAAAATTTTAATATGTAGCTTTTAAGATGCAAATAAATAATGATTAAAAGAATTATTTTATCAACAATGATTGTAATAAAAATAGATTTGATCGTGGTAGTGGAAGAAATGAGGAAAAAAAAGTGATAGTAATAATATACAGTACAAAAATAACAATAATAATTATGATATATTTTTTAAAAAAATAATGTCATTATCATAGAAGGTGACAGTAATAATGATGTAAAAGCGTGACGGTGGAATAACAATAATAACATTATATTATTATTTTTTTTAAATATAATCATTATTATCAACAACAGGGATGATGATGGTAGTTGAGGTAGTGATGGTAGTAGAATTAATTGATATAAAATGAATATAAACAATATAGCACTCTTAAAAAAAGAAAAAAAAACACTCCATTCTTGTTCTTCGTTTTCATTTTTGCATTTTCAACGAAGTGAGAATAAAATCATATATAACAAAATAACTATAAAGTGAAAATAAGAATTTCATTTTTAATTTCACCATTCAAACTTCTGTTACCAAACAATACCTTAGAGATTTATCTTTTTTTTTTTTTAGAGCAAGTTTTTGATAAAATTTAGAGATTTATCTTTCTTTCCTTTTTCTTTTTTATAGAGCTTGTAGGGATTTACCTTGATTATAGTGCTGTCACATATGATTTGTAAGTGATTTTTTCAGTGGATAATATCAAGGTTAGATAAATTAATATTCAATTAAAGATCAAATTAATTACACAAATATTATTCTTAAACTTAAAATTCTATAACAAAATTAATAAAAAATTAATGTCAATATATTTTTTTATAATACAATTTGGTCACACAAAAACACACACATATGCTTGTTGCTCACTCTCTCTCTCTCTTCTACATACATGCTTATTACTTATATTTTCTTAATATCAGATACTCTATTTTTATTTTTTTCTTGTTAAATTTTAATTATTTTTTAATTTAGTATAATTCTTTCCTTTGAGCATTCATATCAAGATCTTTTTATATTAAAAATAGTTTGTTTAATCCATCATTGTATTTTGCTTTGTTGAATTAAATTTATATGTTTTTTACGCCAACTAAGACAGAACTTAAATTTAAATTTAAAATTTTTGTTATACATAAATTACGTACCCATGGAAAATTTATCTAGTTTTTATAACAGAGGAACCCAAGCTAAATTTAATCCACGAACCAAATAGAAAAAGAAAACGAAAAAAATACCGCTATCGTAAATTTGGCTCTCGACCTAGAATCAATGGAAGTAGATTTCGCCTTTTTCCCGCTTCACGTTGGGAAAGATATTAATTAAGGGCAAAATTTTATTTATTTTATATGAACAAAACTGTATTTTTGTCATAGAATAATTTTCAAATTGAAATACATGAGCGGTTAATAAAAGTTAAGAAAATAAGATATTTTGTTTTCACCTTTAAGTCAATAAAACTTTTATTCTTAAACCTAATTTTTTATATTACAGTTATTTTTAACCAACTATTGCGAAACTATAATATAATAATTTTAATTAATATCAATTTTGTTTACATGCTTTTCTTATTTCAATACGATTAAGATTAAAAACTCAATAGTAAACACACATACACACACAATCATATCATTAATATTCACCAATTTAATTCCCCTCAACTCCGCCTCTATTGGTTTACTACCGAGGTGTATTTGGTTTAATTAAATTACGTTGCTTTAACTTTTCCTCATGCTTTCACTTTGTCAACCTATTCAACGGACGGAATAAATTTATTATAGCCCCCCTCCCGAATCTGAGGTCTGGCTGCTGCACATAGGTAAATTTCGTTCACTATGAATAGTTGTTTTATAACCGGGATCTGGGCTGTCTGTGCATAGTTTGGTGGGATAGGTCTCACAAGTCACACGAGCACATGAATCGCCTTGACAATGCGTGTGTGCGGTGCACATGCTATGCTAACACGTGGCGCGTGGAGAAGAGGGCACAACTACCCAGAGGTTTCCCAACAAGGAACAGACTCCCCGAATACCAACATCCACATTCTACAGCCTCATTTCAATATCGAAGTATATTAGACAACACAGCGTTATAGACGAAATGGGCCTGAGGGTTTTAGGACCATTTATAATCATAAAACTCCACTTTAATTGTAGCCAAAAATATAAAATAAATCCAATTAAATTTGGCATCGATTTTGAACCACCCCATAGAAAGTAAGCAAGATGAGTAATTTTTGAGTGTTCCTGTTGCTATCTTTTTAATTTGCATTGCCAAACGAGCAAGCAGAAGAAAAATCTTTCTAATTGATCAAAACAAAGGGGAAAAAAGATTTTTATAATGTGCTACTAAATCTAGTTACTATATATGATAATTCAACCGACCCTATAAGCTGCCTTTCGTTACATTATAATCTAAAAAGTTGAAATAAGTGGAACCCGAATGCTACTTTGTTGAAGGAAGCTACTAACATTATTCTGCTATAGCCTGTGCGGACCTGTAGATAAACGTGAAGCGCGGAGTATACAATCGGCCCAAGAAACAAACATGCTGGACCAACGCTCCAGTCGAATTTATACTTGCTGAACTGCACGATCTGCCCCGTTCACGTTTTAACTTGCAGGCCGAGCCTATTTTTTCTCCTTGAACGTCGTGGGTGGACCTAAAGGCCTGCTGAGAAAAGTTTTTTCTCCAACATCACACCGCATTTATCTGCTCAACTAAAGAAAAGATTGAACATATTCTGTTTTGTTTTTACGGTTGGATGGTGGGGGACGACAACGAGACAGCTCATATCTTCTCTATCTCCGCAGTATTTGGGGCATGTTCCAGGATTCTCCATTGATAAAAGATATAATTTTTTGTAATTACAATTAATATTTGATGGTTATTTTAAAAAATTCTATCATTGAATCTCCATTTGTTTATTAAAAAAAAAAACACTCTCCACGTATACCTCTGTCATATCGGATATTGTCGAACATCCAACATGATAAAATATTTTACCTTTATCAGTGATGGTGCTATCATCTTTTAGTATCAATATTAAGTTTGCCTGGTAATGCAATTTATGTATTTTTGTAAAATTAATTTTTTTTTATATATATTTTTGACTTCAGTATATCAAAAATTTTCAAAATCACTTAATTGATGTTTTTTTTCAAGATATACACGTCTTTTTAATCCAAGCACATTTTGAAAAGCATTTTTTAAGTACAATATAAGTGCATTATCAAAAACACCTTGAACACTTCTTAAATCAATGGAAGGCATAAACTCACAAAACATTAAGGATTAATAATAAATTTTGAAAAACTTTACTGCTTGACCACTAAACCAAACCTTTCAAATCATTTTGGCACAAATCTGAAATTCGTCAAGCGAGACGAAAAATTCAAGAAAATAATTGACTGACCATGAAATAACGGCAGTACTTTTTAACAGCATCGGCTCCTCCGTCCTCTCCCCTCCAGGAACCGAGTCTATGCTTCTCGCTCCACTAGTATACGGTTAAAATGAAAAGACAAAGCCACAGACAAACAAACGGCGGCTACGACGGAAACAGTAACCGTGACTGCTTACGAATACCACGTGGAACCACAGCATCGAGAGAGGGAGAGAGATCTCGACCGCAAAATCAAACCAAAGTCAAGACTTGAGGCCAAAGATTCTACGTTCGATACGGGACGTTGACAGGACCCTCTTTTCCGTGCCCTGTAAGCCCTGACCTCACCCTGAATAACCCGAGTCCTGACCCTAGCTGTTATTGCTAGCTACTCTACTGTAGCTCCCAGCTTTGTACGGATGGCTTAAACTCCCTTGCGTCTTGTCGTCTTCTCGTTTCCCTCTTTGGCATCTCACCTTCGACCATCACGCACTACTAATTGAAATGCTGCAACAAGCTGAACACATTGCGTTAGATTAGATTTTAGTTGTAATGAAACAAATAAATGATCTCTCCCTCTCTCTCTCTCATGCACGCTGTTTCTGTTTGTATATTTCAAATGAGCTTTAATTAGCAAATCATACATAGGGGGAGCTGGGTATGATTAATTGGAATAATTGATTAATTGCATGATCAGATAGAAGGAATTTAATGAAGGTGAGTGCGTTTATTAAGTTTGATGTTGTACGTGTTTGATAGATTGGAGACAGATTGGCGGAAGAGACAAAATGCTAAACAAGCAACAAACGAGATCTAACTGATTCTGATAAATAAATGATGAATGTGACATAACGGCAATTAATGTCAGGGTCCAGGGTCCAGAGTCCAGAATCCGGGTCCATGGGCCAGTCCAGGCATTTCTGACAGACCACGCCCTTACTCGCAAAAACTCGCTCTTACACAAGTACCGACTGCATTTCTTCCCCCAGATTCAACAACCACGCTCAAGCATTATTAATTTATTTGGAAATGGAATGCATGAGCGACATGCTGTAAGAAAAATCGTGGAAAGCAAAACAAAGCAAAATGTTAATGGAGTTTGTAACAGTCAACCAAGACAACAATTAATTTACATGTTATTAATTAGTACCTAATTCTTTGTTTACCCAATTTCTTGCATCAATTAGTATCTGTAATATTTATGACGTTTTGCTCTTTATTATTTATTTATTTATTACAAATTAGAGACATGAACTTAAAAAATTCTCGATGAGAAAAAGAATATTAATGGCAGTTGAGTACAGTGCGTTGGTGGTTTTACTTTACCCTTCCCAAGCGAATAAGACCAATATTGGACCAGCACCGACATATATTTATAATTAAAAAATATCAATGAAGTCCGTCTACGGTCTGCCCAGTGCTCCACCCACTGTCCCGGTCAAGCGGCAACGCCTTCCGGCATCTATTTTAAATTTAATAGAACTGTAGGATTGCCAGCCTAGAAGTAGTGGATAAAGCTGAACAGAACAATACCTCCGTGGCCACAGATAGAATTATTATGCCCCCATTCGGGAGCTGTTTTTTATTTTCCTAAGTGCGGTTCCCATACATATATTATCCTTTGCGACTGTGTATATATAGGGAAAAAAAAAATTCAATCATATATATATATGTATATATGTTAGGTCTCAGGTCTGTTTCTCTTGTCATGTACTTCTGATCAGAGAGCTGGCAAAACATATATGAAAATCTGAAATGAGAGAGTACGTACTGGTCCAAGGTAAGGTTAAAGGAAAAGCCAAGAGCTACTACAGGTCTCCCCGGAAGAAACAGACTCCCCTTATTCAAACATACATTATCTCATTTCTCAATCAAGTGCTATTGGACAACAACACAGACACCTACATGCATGCCTTGGAATTCACTGCCTTCCAGTGAGCTATTTGTTACTCACGTAACACAACAACTACAACAACAATAAATATGGGATTCTAATTAAACACTCCTTACGTTGGGCCCTTTTAAATATCATGATTCATGTTGAAATTAGGATTAAAATTTTCACGTTCTTTTAAGAACATGATTGCCATGTTTCTAATATCAAAATCATTAAATTCAAACTAAATGAATATGATTTAGTACATGATAAAAAATAATAACAATTTAACTTATTATTATTGTCTAATTTACATTATTGAATTTAAAATCAAAGATTATGTTCACCGAACAGTGGATGGGAAATTTAATTTCCTAGCACTACTATTTAAATAATAATTCACTGCATTTATTTGCTGCGTCGGCACATAATGAAACACATACCTTATGTTGGGAAGTTTTTGATTCATTGGTTTTTAATCACAAAATTAGGTGGAGTTTCATAAGTACACTTGATATCTGGACCAAAGCTCGAGATATATACTTCCCAAAACCCCTTCAATATTCTCAAGCTACATATAATCATACTATATATACATGGCGGGCAACCACTCAATCTATTACTGGCTATTTTTTTCTTTTTTTTTATGTGTGGGATAATTAGGAATTGACTTTTCAGGATTTAATTATATTAAAGCTACCAGCTGCATCTTAATTTATTATTTTTGCACCGAGACAGATGCCTAGCTATTACAATGTACATATGTATAGCTCGGGAGATTATTACTTATGGAATTTCTATACTTACGTGAGTGTGGAAAGATATAAAGAGAGTATATCTGGTTCCTTGTACTCGTAAAGATCTAATTTTTGACATTCATGGCTTTTCATAATTGAATTTTGAAATATGGTCAAGCTACTAAGATTAACCCATTAGGCCATTACTTTTCCGATGCTGTCTTGCACGAACTTTGTTTTGCCTGTCCAACCTGTCAACACCAAGCATGCAATCATAGTTATTGACTAAAAAAAGAGGGTTTGAAATTCAGATCAATGTTTTTGCCTTTTTTCGTTAAAAATGAGAAGTATCTATTTACTTTGCAATCTTTTTCTTCATGAATCGCTGCCTTTTTGACCATCAATCTCTCTATTGTGTGTCTTTTCTTTGCCATGTTATAGCTCGTTGGATTGTTTCCTTATACGCATATGCGTTGCCTCTTCCAGTGTCTAATCAAGCTTGTTTTCTTCTCCAAACATTTTGGCCTTTTATCTTGAAAAGTATGCATATTTTCGGTGATTAGATTAATCTGTAGGGCATATAAGTTGACAACAAACAATAATAAGATGTCAAATATATTCACCAGCAATGGATGTCATTGTTAGGCAAAAAACCCAATCTGCTCGAAGAAAGATCTAATACAATCGCTGTACAACACATCTATTATGGTTATATAAATCATATATAACCGTACGTAGATCTTTTATATGCACCTCTCCTGCAAATCCCAAAAAAATGTATGATAGCGATGGATATTCCACTGCAAGGCACGTAAATGAAATGCAGTAGAAAATTTTACAGGAAAAATTCCTTCTTAAATTAGTTTTTTGCACACGCCTTCTATCATTTTTATAATTTGGTGCATTTAAAATGTGACTACCATTTTCCAATCTATGGAATCACCTACTAGCTATATATACATAAAACAGCAGTTCTGTGATCATCTTTAACTTTCTGGACAAGAAATTGACTAACGTGGAAATTAATTGAAGCCAGCAAGAATCCGCCAAAAGTGATTACAAGTCAGAAACCTAAGTTTCCAATATAACGTCTTATTGTTGCATTAACATGGCTAATAATTTCCATCTTTTCGGGCGGGCATCAATTCCTGGTTGTAGCCATATCCCTTAATAGTCAAAGATTGCCATCAGGTTCAGCCTCTTACATGCACACGAGGGAGAGCTTCCATTACAATGCCATTATCATTTTCTAGCGCACACACAAGGACATTGAATCGCTTTTAGGTGCTATTTATCTTTTGGTTCACATCAAGAGGGATTAGAAAAGTTGAAGAGATATTTTTAACAACGGCAACTTTACAAAAAAAAAGGAGACAAAGTGCTAACTAATTACGACTACTAAAATCCTGAAATAAACAAACTAAAATCTTTTTCCTCCCTCAGAATCTCTCCTACCACCTTTTTATAATGGTGAAGTGGAATGTCTGTTACCTTTGAGTAAAGCTCGGATAAGAAAGGATGGAATTGTAATGATGGTGTAGTGCAGATTGAGGAACAGACTGAAGCAATTGAAGAGATTTTATGGTCAAAAGTAAGACCCTTTCTCATTATTGGGAAACATTGAGCTGGGTTTGTACTTAGCAGCACCTAAAAAGTAGAAAAGTAGATTCAATATTTTACAAGGGCCACTTGCTATATTTTGCCAACATATCATTCCACAGAATTTAATCATTAGGCTACTCTCTATCCCTTCCCTCCATTTTGCAAAATCTTCATTCCAATATGAGCCAAAAGGTCAATTTGATAAAGTTTCTTACACTTGGGTTACAGACAGATAACTGGCCCCACCCTTGTCTTTCATTAATCCCAAATTTCCTCCACTAACAACTTTGAAAAAGAAAACAAAATGAAAATTCCTGCCTTCACCCTTCTTTTTCCCTCCTTAAACAGTAACTGTTCCTTTTCCTTTAGTTCATGCAAAAATTTCACATGTAAACCAAAAACACAAGGGCTTAGGTATCGTTCCATGCAGCAAAAACTGGCAAGTGAGCTAAGGAGATTGCGGCTGGCCTCAATTGGGCTGCTGCTTGGAACCAAGGAGTAACGCTAGTTGTAGGGCTAATGAACTTCGATGCTAGTGGAGGTTTAGCGAAGAGCATGGGGGTTCCAGTCCTATCAGGGCTAGCTTCTCTAGAGCTGCTCAAACTGGTCACCAACGATGGGGGGTTCGAGAGACGAGTTCCTAGCTTGGCTGATTCATCTAGGACTGGCTGGTTAGAGTTCACTGAATGATCAATGCCAATAAGATCTTGCATTGCCACCGAGAACGAGGAACTCCGATAATTTCCAGCACTCGTGGACTTCTGATCAAGTGATTCTCCACGGGCATTTGGCTGCTCCTGCTGTGACTGATATAGAACACCATTGTTCTGTGTTGACGTGTTATAATCAATAGCCTCAATGCTAGATTCTGTATCTCGGTTTCGCCTGGCTAGCTCTCCGGCTAGAAGTGTGTTGCTTGCCATGATCCTATCAACATCATATCTTGTTATGTTAAAGTTAGTCACGGCATTAACCCCACGAAATTTGATTGCAGCAATATCATAAGCTTCAGCAGCTTCCTCTTGGGTACCTGAAATTTGTTTTAATCAAACACTTAAAAAGAAAACTACAATATCCACAACATAATATAAAAGACTACAGTCACTTCAAAAATTGAACCTTTAATCAACCGTTTTAGTCAGGAAATTCTTTTATATTCCTCTTTAGCATCTTAACTGGCAAAACAGCCTTAAAAAAGCTCTAGTACAGAAAATCAGTGATGCATCGCATAGTACCAAAGCAAACCATATACCATCAGCCTTATAAAAGCATCAATGGTCTGTAGTGGAGACGTCAGGGCAGGGATGTCTTAAAATGAGTCCCTTAAAAGCTCTTTATGCACCGTAGGAGCCCAACAAAATTTGAACTGTGGATGAAGAGAATGTGGCAAACAAAGCAAGGAAGCATTCAAAATTTTACAAGAACTTACTGAACGTCCCAAGATAAAGGTCCTTGTTTCCTGCAACCCTGCCTATCCTTGCTTGCCATCTTCCGTGCTGGTGATGCCTAACATAAGATGGGAAATTTGGCAACAGGACAAGAACTAGAATATGAATTGCATTAATCTTTTTGCAATAAAATTCGCTAGTTGTTAGAAGTTAAGAAGAATTAAAACCTTGTAACTCCTCTGTAGATTGACGCTCCCCTAGAAAAACCACTACTTTTTCTGCAAAGCAAAGAAGAAAAAATGTTAAACAGTGCACCCTCATTAATTAAGACCACAGGAACCATTTTGAAAAGTAAATCATTGCCTTACCTACGTAAATGTGCAACATATTCCTGGCGGCTCATGTTTTTCATTTCCTCAAGTTCTTCCTGGTAATTTTCTAACTGAAAAAGAAAAGGTAAAAAGGCAGGACTTTTAGGACTAAAAGAATCAAAATGCAGTCGTAAACAAAGAGGATTAAGTATTACCGGAAAATTTATATGGGTTGAATGTCCCCAGTACTTGAGGGCAGCAAGATCGTAAGCCCTCGCAGCTTTCTCTTCCATATCATAGCCCCCTGTAAGTCAGTCAGTCAATGAAATGGAAACATTGTTAAAAATGAACAACAAGGCTCTTTCTACCGCAATCATCATTAGTGTTTAAGAAAACGCTTACCCAGGTAAACTGAATTGCATCATTCCAAGAAGCATGTGAAAGCCAGGTAAGAATTAACCAGCACAAGTCAGGCCATGAAGACACGGACCAAGAATCCCAGTCAAGAAACAATACTTCCAAACAGAAATTGAAAAGATTATTTGCTTAAGCTTAACCAACCTTGCCTTCCTTTCCTGGTCTGGCCCTCCTTCTTACAACTATTGTCCCAAAGATGGGCTTCATATCTACCAGTCCATCTGTGTCTGGTGGGGGTTAATTCAAGATGGTTACTTGGACATATAAAGGAGCAAAAGCATAAGGAAAGCACAAACCAAAATAGAATAGTACAAAAAATAATTCAAAATAGCAGTGATAACTACACAAGAAACGTACGAGTGAAAGGAAACATCCAGAAGAGAGGCAATCGCGAAACTGCTCAACCATTCATTATAAAGAACAATGTGAAAATGTAGTGGAATAAAAATAGTTGCGGCTAACCTTGTAACACCTCTATACTGCGATGTTCTTTGGCCAAATGTGTCAATAGACTTCCTATGAACAGGCTGTTTTTGACCCACTTTTGCAGAGCCTCGCTTCTTTGTTTCTATGGCCACACATTCGGCGCCAGTCGGTGAGATCTGCCTTGGAGCTGTAATGCAGCTCGACTGCGAGCCAGGACTCATTGACAAGCTGAGAGACTGTAAATCTCCACAACCCACAGCATTAATAGAACAAGAAGCCCCACCATCATTAACCATGCTACTATTAATGTGCTGCTCCAGGGCATTTTGGGAGGAATAGTGCCTAGGAACCCAGTTTTTTAAGCAAGGCAGCCCATCTTCTCCAATTTGAGGAATAGGTGAATTACAATCTGCAAGCTGAGTACCCTTGGTTTCTCCCTCCAGTGGGGCCTGATATAATCCTTGGCATGCAATTCCAGCATAGTATGGATGGGTTGGAACTGAAAACTGTTGCTCTTGCTGCCTATATGGTTCGTGAAGGTCGAGTGAATGTTGTCTATTAGTTTCCGGCTCCGAGTTTTGCTGGTAATATATGCTGTCTAGACTTAAGGCCATGGCTTCCCTTTCTTGGCTACTGTACTGATGACTATGCATAGTTGCACCACCTAGGAAATCCTCCAGTTTCGGCGACGGACTCGACACCATTCCTTGAAACACAAAAGCATATGCTTTAAAGCAGTGTTTCAAACTAAGGAAGAAAAAATACATAAGGAACTAAACAGGAAATATATAACGAAGCATGAAACAAACCTTCAGGTTGCGATCTAGTGAGAGCTTCCATGATGCAAAGAGAACCATCAGACTTGAGGGGCATAACAGACAAAGGAGAGTGAAAGCCACCATTTTCTCCAACTCCGTAACAGATTCCAGAGCTGTTGAAGTGAGGAGTAGATAGATAGAAACTTGTTGGAACAGCAGCAGAAACAGAAACAGCAGCAGGAGCATGGGTTTGATGATGGTACTGATGATTATGTTGGGGGTCAGAAGCCACCTCCATTTTCATGTGGGGTGAGAGAGAGAAGCCTAACCAGTTATTATTACTTCCATTGCTATTATCACTCGTAGATTTCATCTTCTCTTCGTTTCACTCTACCTCTCTCTTCCTTTTCTTTCTTCCAGAGGTTCCTTAGAAGTATCTCTCACTTGCTGCAAGGCAACTCAATCATTGGCAAAGAAATAAACTAATCATACCGAAATCTCTTGCCTACTTCCATATGAAAGCTTGGTTTTTTTGTTGTCTAGCAGCCAGAACTCATTGCAAGAAATATAATTTTTCCTGACCCGAAACTCTTCACTCTATCCCACTCACCCGATGGCAAAAAATTCTTCTCTTCTCTCACTCTCCAAAAAAGAACAAAATTGGTCTCTTTAAACTAAACAAAAGGAATGAATTCTAGCAAGCAATGCTGGGGAGCACCCCTGCACTCTCCATAGGGATCTGTGTATATGAGAAAGACCACGTCTTTTGCTTTTATCTCTCACAGCTCTCTTTGAACTTTATTTTTTCTTTATAAGAGCGCCCCTTAAACCCCTAAAAAAAAAAAAAAACCAGATCCAATATACCACAAAAACCCTTTTCAGCAACTAGCAAAATAGTATATACTTTTTCTCATTAGCCAGGAAAATACCCAGAAATATTATCATCAAACCTTTTATTATCTCTCTCTCTCTCCAATGACAGTTGAATCTAGTGGGTGTGTAGTAGCCAATAGGGTGAGGCGGGTCAAAAAATCAAATGGGTTAGCTTTATTTTACTGTCCAAAGGGTCATAGATAGATATGACATGGGCAGGACATCTGCCCCTCCAGTCGCTTCATACAGTACACTGCCCCTGTGCCCTCTGCAATCCAATTTATATCTGTTGTTTTTCCTTCAACTTAAATACTGCTCCAATTTTGGTTCACAGCTTTCAACTAGAAAATGCATACTTTACCAATGGGGACAAAGGCCCAGGCCCCATTGTGTCACATTCCTGCTGTGACCATGCATTGCTCACAGCCCCATCACCCACCGTTCGTTTGGATAAAAAGAAAGCTTCTCGGGTGGGTCTTTGATGTGACCATTTCTGACTTTCTGCTTTATTCATCTGGCATGGCAGCATCATATTGGTCGTGACTGTCATCGGTGAATTGCTACGGTGACTTTGTTTATGCATAACATTATATTAGATGACCAACTGCTATGCTCCTTCTCACTTTTTTTTTTTTTTAATTTCCATAGCCAGATGTCAAAGATAATTTAATTAAGAAGTTAAAGAATTAGTTCAATTAGAGAAATCAGTTCCGACCAAACTAAACAAAAGTTTTTAAAGGAAGAAAATCCAAAGACGAGAGACACAATGACAGATGATGTTGAGCATTAATTTACTCTTTTTTGATGAAGCTGTTCTTTTAAGTTACAAATACCAAACCAGTGAGTTTTCTCCTTATTGAGCACATTACAGACCAAAATGCTTAGGATACAAATTTTTTTTTCATATATAAAACTTTAAGGAGAGATAGATTAATTGTTTCACTGATATCATGTTAAAATGCAGGCAACAGTATCTTTTGAAACTCCCCTCTAACATTAAAGAAAGTAAAAACATTCATCGAAAAAGAAGAGAAAAATCACTAATTAAAATGGTGTAAATGACAAAATGCGATTGTCACGTTCGAGCTATTTAGAACGCGTGGTATAACTCTATATACTTTTCTTTTCGGATTTGAATGTAAATGCGAAAAGAACAGAAACTCCATTTGCTTTTTTAACGACTTTGGGTCGTTCGGTGTGTAGCGAACACCTGCTTCCAGGGCAGAAAGTGGGTAAAGTGGGGTCTGATAAATTTGAAAGATTCCAATAATGATGAGCAAAGGCCCTCCCCAAAAAAATAAAGTGGAAATTGTTATTTAATTTTTCTATGCTATATTTTTAATCAATTTGACTATAATTGTATCCTAGATGTTGTTTTTTCGCATGTGAGCTTGGAACATAATACCACTGTTTTTCCTAAATAAAGTGAATGTACATGGAAGTTTATTATACATTCGAGGGCAGACGTTGTCGCATCAAGATACGATATTTCTCTAGATAAAAATGTTTTCTGTACATTTGTTTTTTCAGTAGCTATTCAACAATATTTTATTCATGATTATTCTTTTCTTTTATAATGTCCACACACTCTTTCTCTAGTGTAATTTTCAATTCAAATCCTTCCATTGAGCTAGCTATGAGAATATATGTGTGTCGTCTTGGATTTCTGGGGTTTTGTCATTTTTTGAGGTTCCTTTTGTTGGTGGGGGGTGTGTTTGCATGGAGATTTGCATGAAAGTTTTTCATGGAGACAGATATTCAAATGCGAATGATTTGGTTTGGACCATGAAAGGAGGACTGCGTTGAGGAGGGAAAGGGAAGTACTAGGGAGTTGGGGAGTGTGTGCGCAGAGGTTGGAGGGATTCTTTTGATTATATAGTAATGATGAGTATATCCATGAGCACTAGCTAGCATGTAAAGAGAGAGACGTCCAAGTCCCTAAACTTTTTCCCTTAATTAGTGCATGACTGCATGCCCTTGGCAACGCACTTCGGCGACTTCTCAAATTCACCTCCATTTTCTCCAAACTTTTGCAGTTAGTGAAAAATGCATTTTCTTTTCTTTTCTTTTACTTGCGTCTTTGTCTTCACGACATAAATAAATTCCCAACCTCGCTGATGTTGCATGGCCCAGAATTTTTTAATCGAGCCACCTGCCTCCACATTTGGATATTTCTCGTCATAAACTATCAAACCAATAACATTAAAAATTAAAAAATCAAATGAACGCAAGCTGATGTTGCTTGACGATTGGTATTGTTCATTGAGCATGTACTGTGTTTTCCAATCCTCTAAGCATCTTAGAATTATTAGTCCTCTAGGCTATGGGTCTCCTATTTACAAAAAATAATAAATAAATAAAATAATCAGACGCAAGGAATTTTTTATCTTGTTACAGTTCCTAAAAAGTTGCTAATATACATTAGAGAGACCCGTTAATGTTTTTTCTAATTCCCCTCAAGTGCTCCCTTTTATATTTTAGGCAATATAAAATGTACTACCGATGAGATTTTAAAATTTTTTATTTTTTAGTTCTAAAATTTTAGGAATTTTTTGTACACCATATGAATTAAGAATTATTTTTTTTATAATAAATAAGTAAAACAAAATAATCCCTGATTTCTATGACGTAATTAAAATTTCTCAATAGATGAGGAGTTCTTGATATATTTTGACAAAAAAAATAAGTACTAAAGCACATGTCTTTTTCATTCTGCGATCAAATTTATTCTAATTTTTTTTTTTTTGTCATATGACTGCACTGACACTCCTCCAGTCAATCCAATTGGCCAAAAATTAAACAGCTGCTAATTCACCATCCACTGCGGTAACTTAACGGAACCAATACAAGCACGCAGTTCAACGGAAAAATCTTGAAAATTGCACGTTCTACTAGATCGTAAATCATGCTTTCCTAGTAAACCAACATTCTTTATCCTTTTTTTTTTTTTTTTTGTAACATCATTCTTCATCGTCCCAGTTAATGAATTTCACTTTACTCCATCTACTGGTCATCCACGTTTTTTTATATTAAAAAAATATATAATTGGGTGCTGGTGGAAGTTTGTCCACCCAATTCCAAACTCACCCTTTTCGAAAAAGGAAACAGAAATAAAGAAATATTCTAGATATCAGATGAGTATAATGGTCTCTACGTCCCTATCAACCATCATTTTCTATTTCTACAGTTCCAAACCTATTTAATTAACCATCCATTATCAGAGGCTTAGTGCGTTGTAAACCAAGAAACCATATTCCTGATAAAAGAGGGAAAAAGCAGATGGGAAAGAGAGAATTGGAGAAAACAAAACAAAATTTATCCTCCAGTAGGCATAAATTCTTAGTCAGAAATGTGGACCTTCCAATTTACGGAGAAGGGAAGATAGAGAAACAGGAAGAGGTGAAAGGACAAAAACTCCTTTAAAAAGACCAAAAACAGTGGAAAACAGTTGCAAGAAAACCCAAGAGACATACAAAACTTATACCCAGCTGTTGGACTGACATGTAGTATGGTATGAAAACCCAAGAGACAATAGAATGTTTCTCTAGTATTTTTATGTGCAGAAGCAACTCCACCCACATGCTCACTGGCAACTATCTTTCAACTTATTTAAATTCAGTGAGTCCAAATGGTAACCTAATCAGACTATTTTACAGAGCATGCTCGATAATATCCCATATTAATTAATTTAAAAAAGTTTCAAGAACATCAATCCCTGAAGCGGGCAACAGTCAAGTGTTGGCGGGAGCAGTGAAGGGACTGCTTTAACTTTATACTAGTAATCTGCAGTTTTTGAAAGGAGAATTCAACAGCAGTGACTATTGTCTAGGTACCTAAGGTCTGATACTTCCTTTTATTATTTTGGATTACTGAATACTGAATAGCACCCTTTTTTTTTGGTCAACCGAGTATGCATAATTACACATTACCTAGCTACCAATGATCTCCACACTAGAATATTTGAGTATATAAAATGAAATAGTCCTAACTAACATGGTTTGGGCATCTGGCATAAATAATTAAATGAACAATATTTCAATATATGATGCCGTTTCCCTTATAATCAAGGGACATATTTTGACAAAATCATCATAGTTTTTGTCAAAATATGTACATATCGATGTTCCCTTAAACCTTGAGAATTGCCGGCCATGTGGGTCATTCCTCTACCAGAATTATGCATGTATTATGGTGAATATATGGATAGACAGGTGTTGAAAAATTTACCATAATTTCCCGTTCCTTTAAATTAAAAAAAAAAAGAAAAAAAGCACACACAACCCTTGTTGGGGTGAAGTGGCTGGTTTGAGTTTAATTTTTCAACCTCCTTAATCCTGAGGTCCGGTCCTTTCATGAGTTTGAGAATTTAATGTGGTAAGAAGTAATGAGAATCACGTGAGACCACAAAATCCAAACAAAATCCTATAAAAGATCACAACAAGAGGCCATTAGCCAATAAGGGTGGCCAGCAGTAAGAAAGTGGATTATGAGATCACTGGAATGGCTAGTTGGCTACCCATCTGAGAAGGACAATAACAGCTGTGACTCTCTGCGCCAAGCTGTTTTCTTCCGCTATTGAGAAAATGCTTTATTTACTCTATACTTAAGAAAGAGAAAGAGACCTTAAATTAAAATTGCCAAGAGAAAATAAAAAAATAATAATAGAAGAAGAAGAAGAATCAGCAAAAGGAAAGAATGAGAGAGACCTTAACACTGACTCTCATTTAAGGCTCCCTTGCATGCAACACTTGAGCCTTTAACTCTCGCCTTCCAACCATTTTCTGTTTGTCACTATTCACTCGACTCTATCTCTACCAGCGATGACACGTCCAAATCTAAGCCCATTGTAACGTCTCAATCACAGTAGATTCTCTTTCACACTCTCCCTCTCCTGTTTCCTCGAGGGAGGTTTCTTTTTCTTACAACCGAGGGACAGCTAGCTAGATTTTTTATCAGCAGAAGCAACCACTAGCTTCTTCTTTGTTGAAAAAATAGACCCGGAACCTAAGCAAGCTAGGACTAGCAAGAAGCATTCAAGTCTTTAAGCAAATTAGTAAAACAAGGCCTATCTTAGGACATACCGCCCATCCTAAATGCTCTGCAAATTGCCAAGAATGAAAATAATTTCACAGCATACGGTATTTGAAAGAGTTCTATACACGAAATCTATTAAGAAGGTGAATGGGTGGTTCCCATTGAAACATCAATTTCGCACCATTATTTTTCCCCTTGTGTACAATGGTCAGCATTGAATGTTTCATGCTACGTGGCTATATAAACTTTTTTATCCATATATTTGCCTCTTTCCTTGTTAAAGGAACAATAAAGGATATTTCTTTTTATAGTATTATGGCTTAATATCAACTGCCCAGGAATGTGACCAGAATGAGATCTCACCACTCTCACTTAAACCCCTTTCACATGCAGGGTATCTGTGTACTTCTTTTTCCCCTCTGTGTAACCAGAAGGCATAACCGGTTTGCCATCTAAATGTACTAAAACTTGACGTAACAAGACCATCTCTAGATTATGGGTTCATGAGTCGTGCCTTATCTTCTTCGTGCTGATCTCCAATTCAGACCTGCAGGCAGGGAAGGAGCCCAATTTGGACTCAATCCAGTTCATAACCAGAGCTCGAAATTTGTACAAAATTGCTTGGTTTTGGATTTGGATGTTGGAACTTGCAATGCCAATAAAATAAACAAATTTGGTTTTGGATTCTAACCTAGCAACCTACGCGATGTGACTTAGGTGATTAAAACCATTATGATCCATCAGCTTGTGGTGGTCAAACATGACTAATTACTTAGAGCTATTAGCTATATCTAAAGTCTGAAGGAAAAAAAAAAACAACTTTTATGAGTTTTGGTAGTATATTTTTCAGCTGATGGGACACCTTAGGGACATATCCCATCTCTCTGTTGTGACGGCGATGTAGTCACACAGCACCACAAAGTGACCAGAGATGGTAGTTTTGCTTTGTGAAATGTCCAATCAAAAAATATCACATATAATTACAGAAAAATCCTCTGGTGATTTGCCTGTTTGGAAACCTGGGGATCCATGATCTGGTGCATAATAAATAATAAACAAGGATTTTTTCCATCCCAGATGACAGGCTCCTATATCCAGACGTGGGATGTAACTTTATCGCGTACTGTACTTAAGATGCTTTGAACTAGATGTCCCTGAAACGACATGCAATAGACAGATTCCGGTCTCTTGCTAACCAGAATTTCATGGTTGTTTGAGTGGATGAGGAAAAATGTTGAAGTGCATGCCCTACAAGCATCACCAAGTGCAAACAAAGGAGCTCAAGAAACATTCAAGAGCATCTAGACATGGACCTGAAGTGAACCGAGGGCTAGAGGAAGGAGACGTTTCGATTACGAAAACGTTAAACCTCAAGTGGGTAATTCAGAGATTAATATTCTAGGGCCACTTGTAATGTGAGGCCCGGTGTGACAAAATTTCCACCCATGAAAAAGTAAGAAGAAAAATATTCGCATCGTAGACTCATAGTTGAACAAAGGGCGAAATTCTTAGCCCCGATCTTCAAACCCATCCTACGTCAAAAATACCTAAGTTCAGTCAATTCCTCAGCGATAAAATTGTAATTTGAGTACTTTTTTTTTCTTTTCCATTCGAATGTCCAAATGGTAAATTTTTCTATTTGAATGTTGATTTTCTTTTTCTCTCAATAGAATGCATAAATTTTATTTTTTTTTATTTGAATCCACTAATTTTTTTAAAATTTTCAATCATGTACTTTTTATCAATTTCTTTATTAATTGATAACGTATTTACATAAAAATTATAACTGTACTTTGTACTTTCTTTTTATTGAATGAAACTTTCTTTTCAAATTATTTTACCATTTCAAAATTTAACAAAAAAATTAAAAATATTATTTTTTAGGTTATAAATTTCAAACTAAACTTTGGTTAGTTTGCTGATTAAAAAAATATAATAATTTGTATTTGAGAGTAAAAATTAAAAAAAAAACACAAATCTTTTTGATTAAAAATCTCATGTTTGTGCTTCTTTCAATTTTTAAACTCAAAATCTAATTGAGTGTTTTTTTTTAACAAACTTAACATAAGTTAGTTTGAAATTTTATAACTAAAAGATAACTTTTCTTCTAATTTTTTGTCAAATTTTAAAATAATAAAACAATTTGAAGAGAAAGTTCTTCACAACAAAAGAGAAAAAATATATATATAATTTGATATTCGGACACGTCATCGGTTAAGAGATAAATTAACAAAAATACTTGATTGATAGTTTTAAAAAAATTAAGAAACTCAATTAAAAAAAAATTAAAATTCATATACTCAAACTCCATTAAGGAAAAAAATAGCAAAATTATAATTTGAAATTATGAGAATAAAAGACATGTCATCGGTTGACGAAGTACTTAATTGATAATTTTGAAAAAATTAGTATACTTTAAAAAAAATTCGTATACTTGATTAAAAAAATTGAAAATTGATATATTTATAATGCAATTAACCTCTCTTTTTTACTGAAAAATAATTGTGTTAATAATAAACTGTTCCGTGACAATACTTAACTAATACGTGACAAAAAAATAAATTTCACTTGGATTATTTAGAGAAAAAAAATACAATTCAAGTGTCTAACTTTTGATTATTTTTCTATTTAAATAACCAACGTTTGAATCTTCTCCACCACCCCCACCCCCCCCACCCCCCAATTGAGTTCTCTTCGCCACCTGATGCTGAAAATACAAACGTAGCTAGACATGTGTCAAAAAAAAAAAAATCCGCTCAAATTTATTAAGAAAAAATATATAAAACTATTATAAAAGAAAATAGTTGGCAAAAAAATAGAAATCAAAATCAATTATTATTAGTCAAATGAACTCGAATTATTTAGATGATCCAAAATTAAAAATCTTGAATTAGATAAAAAAAATATTTAAATGATAATATCTTAAAAGTGTTTTAAAAAATCAATAAGTAAAATTATCGAGATCATTCAACTAGTAATAACTGATTTTGATTTTTGTTTAATCAATCTAAGGTGACTAAAGAAGATAAAATAGAAAAAAAAATCAAATATAATTAAATGTTAGGTACAAAAATTGTAGTTTTCTCAAAAAAAAATAGAAATTTTTTTCCTAAATAATCTAAATAGGACCCTCTTTTTAGGGTTCACTCCAAAACATCAGCATTTTCCAATCTTAAATAATTGTGGACACTCAAACTGAAAAAATTAAAAATCAAAAAATCAAAACTTGGATATTTAAATAGAAGCATTTATCGACTGGACACTAAAAAATAATAAATAAATAAATAACCTCGTTCCTCAACATTCATCCCTGTCCAATCAAGGGTGGCACGAAAAATCAGTTCAAGGGCCACTAATATTGTGTAACATCATGGTTCTGTAATTGTTCAAATATTAATTCCAGGATGTTAATAGCGCATTATCTACAGCCTACAGACAGTAACTATTAACTAATCAGGAAATTAATTTCACGGACACTCAGATCGTCTTATATTGCATTACAGGATTAACATAATATCGACAAAAATGCAAAATGATTTAACAGAAATATAATATGGTATAAAGTACTGATTTAGGACCACCCATAAACAATACTCCAGATTTCCATAATGCCATCAAACATAGAAACTATGCATGACAGCTTTGGTAAATGCCTCAACTATAGTACTTACCCACTTCATCAGATAATTATAAGAATTAATTCCTTCAGATTAACGCAAAATAATTTGTTTTTCATATTGCAATTTGGAATCAATGAATTTAGAGAAATTACAGTATTTATGCTTAGTATTCCATTCTATATAACCCTAAATTAAACAGCAGAGGAAAAGAGTACATTTAGATTTCAGAAGGATTAAGAGAGTGCTATAGTATTGAAATTCAAGTCATAACAATCATAAACTGACATCCATCCAGGATTCGTTCTCATACCTGTTAATGGTAGCTGGTAAGTACAAATGAATTCAAAAACTGAAAACAGTGGATGCCTTGTGACTTGTGAGAGAGTAGCCCTTCTGTCAAATCACACATGAAATGGCCATGTTGTCACCACCTTCGTATCAATGATGTGAGCAACTGCAAAGATTCACATGTAATTCTCCATTAGCAATCAGTGTCTCAATATATTAGCATAGGTGGGGAAATCCAACTTCACTCTCTGAAGAAAAGAACAAGGCTATTACATGTAACAGAATCATTTAACCTTTTTAATTGGAAATTCCTTCTAAGTCCTAATTATTTGAAAAACGAAAAATTATAAGTTGGACACTTCACATTCTTTTTCCTTCCAATAGTATTCTGCCAAGAGAATGGCAGAGAATGGAGGAGAACGGGAAGGCCTCCCAAGTAAGTTTCGGTTACAATGGCTGTTACATAGAGAAAACTTCATGTTCTTTCTACACAGTGCTCTACTCAGAAGCCAAAGTTCCAGGGAACCAGTAATTAGGTATGAAATACTAGAAGCATTGAGTTCCTGCAGGAGATAAGGAAAGAAATCCTGCAATGAAGCAGTCAGCAAGTACGAGGAACAATCACATCTCATGTGCTCTTCAAAAGAAAGAATTCCAAGTTCCATAAGCATTATAGGGTAAAAACAAGATTCTTCACAAACAACTGTCCTGGGTTAAGGTGCAAAAATATATGGCTTCAAGATTTAAAATTTCAGAATATTATTGAAGCACAAGAAAACAGAATACCTCGAATAGTTCAAATGGGCTACCACGCCGGTATACATCATTCTTCTTAGTCTGATTATTGGAGAGAACACTGGATAATAGCACTCTCCATCCAATAAGTAAAACACCTGTGCTTCCCATTGTTACTAAGATAAAGGCATATGGTGGAACGTGACCTGATGATGCTGCCCTTATAATCATTCCTAGCTGCCAATCAAGTAAATGAGAAAAAAAAACCCAGTCAGCCATTCTTTTTGGTGCCTGCTTGACAAATACCAATATAGTTGCAATGCCTTTTATAATTCAATAACTGTGATTTCTGAAATGAAAGTCACTCAAATAGCAAGCCATGTAAAGATAATTTAAGGAAAATTATTGAAAAGGACAGAACATGTGCAGATAAGATGAAGCCCAAGACAACTTCAACTGAGACAATGAAGACATGGCTTGTTTGATGGTCCAATCATGCGCAACAATTAAATACAGATAAAAATAACTTCTTCAACTCGGTAGCTGGCACACAATTGTAAGAGAACATTGAACTCTAAGGCTTCAATGTTTATCTTGAAACAAGCAAAAGCAACATGTATATCTGCTAATAGAACTCTGTGCAGCACAATCAAGAGGTACGGTCATCTAAGAAAGAACCATTAATAAAAATTTAAAACTATTACATGCTGAATTCTCTGGCAAGACCTCTACTGAGCAGTTTGAGATCACCTGGCTCTCGCTATTTATATAAGGCATGGAACAGATTAGAAATGCAATCAAGCCTGGTAAGTGAGAAGTGTGATTGTACCATATACAGCTTGCTGTAGACATAAATTGCACCGGATTCATTCATTTCCAAATCAACTCAACTAAAGCTCAGTTACCAAACTAATCAGGATGAATCCACTCATATCTGCCATTGTTGGCTTCTCTTTATTAGATGTTCATCTGAGGCATGGAACTAGGGGTGAGCATTATTTGGTTAAAACCGAAAAACCGAACCGAATCAAATTAGCAATTTCGGTTAGTTTTTTCAAGAAATTTTGAAAAAAAAAAAGAAACCGAAAATCGAAATTATTTCGGTTCGGTTCGGTTTTGTTTTTTTCAAATTCGGTTTCCACCGAAAACCGAATTAGTTTTTTTTTTTTTCCACAATACCCAAGCTCTTTTTTTAAAAAATAAAATAAAAAAGACAGCTATGGGTTTAACTAAAAGAACAATAGCTTTAATGATTTTTTTCTACTTAAAATAAAAATATTTTCCATTAATTATTTATTGAAATAATAAAATAATTGATTATATTATATTGACTCACAAACAAATAAAAAAAAAGATTGTGATAAAGTAATTCTTTATAAATACACAAGTTTATGTGTGGGTGAATCCTAAAACCTCATAGAAAAAAAATTGTCTCCTTGTATTAAAATTGGCACAAAAATATCCCCTAAAAAAATTGACCCGAAGCCGCCGCATTTATAATAGTACTATAGTAGTATTAATAACAACTAACAATAATAAGTTTTTCACTCTTTTTATGCTTATACTAAACATAAATTAAAAATTGGATTTTTTAGATTATCTATTCAACAATAAAATATACGCAAGATAAATAGATTAAAAAGATCATGAAAAATTAACAAAAAACCAATTGTAGCGTGATTGAAAAAATAATAAGAAGCCCAATCAATCTAGTTTATAATATAAATAGAAGCAAATTTAGTATAGAAAAATAATAATAATCTTACACAATTTTCTTATAAAATCAAATGTGAAATATGCAATCTTTCATTATGCAAGTTTGATATTTTTTTAAAAGCAAAATAATTTGGTTTTAGAAGGAAAAAAAAAGATTGTTTTTTAGCCGAAAACCAAAAAACCGAACCGAAAAATTTGGTTTTTTAACCAAAAAACCAAACCTCAATTCGGTTCGGTTTCGGTTTTTGTTTTAGCCAATTCAGTTAACCGGAAACTGAAAAAAAACACCGAATGATCACCCCTTCATGGAACCATTGCCAGTTTGACATTGCAATCATGTTCCACTGAACCCAGACAATAAAACCAATTTCTTCAACCTAGCAGCTGGCACAATTGTAAGGATACATTGAATGCTAAGACTTTTGGTGTTTATCTTAAAACAAGTGGAAGCAACATGTGTATCTGCTAATAGAATTTTGTGCAGCACAGTCAAGAGGTGCCAAGTTGGCCATCTACAAAAGAACCACTAAAACATTTTAAAACCTTTTATATGCCAGATGCTCTAGCAAGACCTCTGCTGAGCACTTTGAGATCAGTAGGCACTCTCATCTAACGAGAGGCATGAACCAGAACAGAAATGCAATTGTCCTCTGTCACATGAGAAGTATGATTCTACCATATAAAGCCTGCTCTAGACATCGAGTTGCATCAAATGCATGAATTTCACATCAACTCAACTAAACATCAGTCGCCAAACTAATTAAATAGATATTCTCATATTTGCCATTTGTTGACATCACTTATTTCGATGTACTATAAGCATCTTAGAAAATATCAATGCCTCTTATTCCTCCATCACGGTAAGACGTAGGATGCAATTCTAGATTCACCCCTGCCTTTATAATGCTCCGACATACACAACACATCCTTTGAGTCAATTAGCAGCAGACCAACAATTCTCACAATTTAGAGAAGGGTAGCTGCTCAATAAAGAGTGCTCCCACGGTTGAAATTCTAAATCAGAAAATGCTACTGGACACCCCAGGATAGCCATTAATGGAATCTAATTTCTAATCAATGCTTTCAATTCTCCACCTGCTAAAACATATGGTGCAGACTCCTACGATCATCTTAATAGTGCGAAACAATGAACAAGTAACTCGCTTTCAAAGCCAAGAGAAGGGACAACCTTATCTCCTTTTCTTTCTTTTCCATTAACGTACAAAATCTGATAATACCTGCATACATCAGAGCTGTTAACTAAAGGCAACGTTCAGTCACCCCTCTACAGAAATTTATATGAAGATGTGAAAGTTAAGAATCATTTGCAAACAGGACTGCTGGCAAATCAAAGTTACTGCCAAAAATTAAGAGTGTGGGGTAAATTTTAAGATGACACGAAATGCCCAGGTTACAAGTTTTTACCATCAGATTGGTTTATGACTAGTCTACTGGCAAAATCTAAGATGCTTAATATGAAAGCAAAACAAAGTATGTGACAAAATCTATTAAATTTCATGAAATCCGAGAGGCCAATACCATGGTTTGAACCAGCTAAAAGTATGCGCTATCATGAAGAATTAAATCAAGAGGAGTAGATATGTACATAAAATAATAGGACTGCGTATAGCTATATCGTAAAATCAAGCATTTGAAAAAGAAAAATTTTGATTAAGTTTCATTCGTGTACAAACAAGGATTTCAAGTATATTGTTAGCTCATATTAGCATATGGACTAGCGAAATCTTCCTAGCAATTATAGGGAATAAATACACTGCATATCCTAGCAGATAATGGAACTTACAGGAACCCCCACTGCCCATGATTTAGCAGCAGCAATAACAGTCTTAGACAGGCCATTCATTCCACGACCATCCTCACCATAACCCCCAAGGAAGTAGGCACAAAGAAACCACCCTGCTCATCATTAACCCGCAATCAGTCCTTTTCAGCAATTGAAATTAAACTGAAAACAAAAACATACATATTGAATTTTCTTTAGTTTTTTTTTTTTAATACGCATACATACCAGCAATAAAAGGGTCAGCAGAGCGTAGCGTCTGAAAGTCAAAAACAGAGAAACCATGGCTAAACCTGCCAATTGCAGAGAAGAAGAGCAAAGCCAACACATCCCCACCAGCCAGCAAAGCCACACGACTGCCAAATAACATTAAAAACATTAAATGAGAAGAACAAAGCCCCTTAACTCTATAAATAAAAGAAGAAATTACCCCCATTTTTCAAGACGCCCAGAAGAAGTGGGTTTCTCGAACTGAATGACGCCTTCTAAAGGAACATCCTCTTGACCCACAAAAACAGTGTCGTTGCTATTGAAAGATGGAGCTGGCGTTGAAGGAGAGGGGGTTGGATTGTTGGTAGAGAGTGGTTGTTTGGTTGCAGAAGTGGAATCTAAACCTCCTTCAGCTTTGGCAAGAGTAAGGGGAAAGGGTGGTCGTTTTCTGGAAATGAATTTGGGTTTGGGGGAATTCAAGAACAATGGTTGGTTTTGGTGGGCGAATTTGAGTGGAGTGCATCGTTTGGCCGATAAGGCTCCTCCTGGAGCTTGGCTTAGCAGCAACATGTTTTTTTCTTTTTTCTTTTTAACCGTTATTACGTTATTAAAAGAAGAAGGAAAAAAAAACTACTTTTGATATTTTTTGTATTTCCAATCTAATTTCACCATACTTTGCTCACGTGGAGAGAGATGGAAGAATGTGGTCCAAATTTACTTCATAAATCTAGATAGTATTCACTTTTTTTTTTTCTTTTTTTTGTCTATTGGTGCAGTCTTTCCTTTTATTTCTGGGGAAATGACAACATTACTATTTTCTCTCTGAGTTTTCCACCTCCAAGGAGGTTTGATTGTGTCTACAGAAGTTTGTTATTTTGGGTTTTAATTTAATATTAATAAGATAATTCATTAAATTCTTCTGAATATATTAAATTTGTTTTAAAGTGCATTTTTAAATTGTTTAGAAAATGATTAAATTTGGTTAACATGTATAATGATACTAAGATATCTTTGATATCCAATGAAAAAAATACATAAAAATGCTTTGTGGGAAGACCTCATCTCTTTTTAGAAGATTATAAATTAGTGCCTTTAGTTTTGAGAAACAAATTAATTAGTTCCCTATGTTGTAAAAACTAATTATTTAGTCCTTGTGATATTCAATTCTTTTGTAACTTAATCATTTTTGTCATTTTTCAATTTATTTTGAGGTTTTGTTGTAAAGAATGAAAAATATGGAAGGATTGATGGCAAGAAATGATTTTTTTGAAATAAAATAATTTTAATTAAGTGTGATCAATACTAGTTAAGCAACTAAATAATTAATTTTTGAAACAAAAGGAACTAGTCAATTTATTTTGCACAACTAAAAGGACTAAGTTTTAATTTGCTCCTTGGGTTAGGAACAGCCTGAAAATAGGGTATAGCACAAAAATGGAATAAAGCATAATCTAGTCCTTTTATTTTTGCAAAATAAATTTAATAGTCCTTATTATTTCAAAAACTATTTAATTAATTTTTAATCAACATCGAGCACACTTAATTTAACAGTGGCATACTTTGTTCCAAAAAATGTTTTTTTTTTGTCAATATTTTTATATTATCTACTTTTTTTTTCTATTTCACAAAAAAGTTAGTTTTGTTTTTTAATTAAAAAAACGAAAGGAAGGTTGTGCCAATAACATTTACAATTATCAATATGCCCATTGTTTTAAAGTAAATAATAATTCAGTCATCTGCTTGATAAAATTAAGGCTGCCAACACCATAACTTTAAAAAGTATTTTGATGCCTTTGTAAGCAACTAGATACTATTGAGAATTATGATGTCTATTGAAGAGGTGTGAAATTTGGATTTTCTACAAAATCTATCAGGATGAACCTTCTCATGATCAGGGGCTCTCTTCTTCGTGACCCCATAGCTAAATCAATACATTAAAAATGTCTTGTATCAATTATTTCATACTATATAAAAGAGCTATTCTCTTCATTATACGCAAGTCCAACAACTCAAATAACAACATAATTCTAGAGATCTCTCTCTCTCGTATATATCTACATAGAAAAAGAATTCGTTCTTTTATCTTGTTCATATCAAGAATATCGATAAAAAAATATATATCTATATGATTCTTTACAAAATTTCCTCTTATGCCACCAAAAAAATCCATTCTTCGTACTTTTTCCACTTTTCCTTTGATTCCAATAAAGAAATATATATACTCAAAATAATGATTTTACTATCGAAGTGGTCACGTCAAGTTCCTGCATACACTAGTAAAACTTGTGTTTGTGCTTCATACTTACAAGACTTCAGAGGACATTGCCATCATTTTTCTCAATCTCCCAAAAAGGCTGAAAACAAATATAATCAAATAAATACCAAAATCATACACATCATTAGTGCATCGTCTGTGCAAAACTAAGAAAAAAGCTAATTTTTAATCCATATTTGCTAGCCTCCGATCCAATAGCAATGGTGTCATCCTCCATATGAAACACAACATCAAATTGCATGATACATGTTTCACTCAAGCATTCACCACTCAAATGAAGTAATATTTTTCTTAATTTGAAACGCAAGTCATTATAAAAACAACATACATATCTATTATAATCACCAGCTCCTAATGGGGAGGATAAGCAATTCATTTATGTTGCCATTTACTCATATGTTTTAGCCCATAGTGTTAATTAGCATTACATGACATACATGCATCCACCTGTTCCAACTTTTTTCCAGAAAAAGGCATCAATTATTGGTTTCTTCAATGTTTCATATTATGATGGAAAAAGTGTCAGCAATATAGATAAAAACAGGTAAGGTCGTCATATGGTTATGCTTCAATTGACAACACATTTATAAAGTCAACACCCAATTGTCATGTATTTTATTATTTTTTGCAAGTATTAATTAATTATGCAAATCAGACATAATGTCTGACACCATTTATTTCCCATTACCCCAGACAATTATGGCCATAAAAAAATCTTAACCAATTAGTGTATAAGCTAAAAAGCCTCGTCAAAGTTAGTCAACCAATAGCCGTCCGGCTAAAGCCAATGGATAACTTATGCACTGCAAAAAGCTTTCGTAGGAATTTCAAATTGCACGTGCAACCACTTGAATATATGAAGATCTAACAATTGAAACAGGAGTATAGTATTCAAATATTTAGAGAAGTCTCACCATCTGGTCAGGAAATTATCTTATCTATCATAGAAAATTACTCTAATTAGCTCATGTCCATAAAAAAAAATTCTCCTCTTATAAGTCTTAATTCTCAAAACTAGTTCAAATCGAAAGAAATATATATAACCTTACACGAGACAAATTCAAACCCAGGTAAATGCGTCATCATCAAAGATAAATAAATATTAATAAGCGAGGATGAGAGGTAAAAAGAATAAAAAAATTAAGAGAAAAACGAGAGACTATGGCATAAGCTCCATAAGAGAAAAGAAAAATAAGAGAAAAAAGAGAAAACAACACCGGACCTCCGTCGATGTCCCACTACTAACACATATTGAACGATCGGACTCACCTCAACTAGACAAAGCTAACATCACCGGTAAGGGCACCAATCTACCACCAAAAAACACCACGCGCACAAAGAGGTTCAACCACACCTAACCATATGCGGCATCATACACCCGATAGTTTATCTCATCATCTTCAACTTCGGTCTCTCAAGTCCTTATCGCCCTTTAATTCGATCTTGAATTTGAGTTTGGGTTTCAAATCAATCCCCAAGTTCCATCCATCTTCATTGTTAGTCCATGACTTTGTTTATGCAATAAAATTTGATCCATATGCTCCCGAACTCACCAATGTCGAACATATGAATCCCCGATTTGCTTAACGTATTGATTTTTATTCCTAATTGTGAAACACATTTTCAATTCAATTATCAATTTCAATCAACCGTAAGCATCAATCTCTATTACATCGTACAAGTTAATTTTATGACCATCGGTCATATTTAGTGCCTTTGGTACCATATGATTCAAAAGAGAGTTAATTTACCCAAATGGTACAAGAATTCTTAAAAGGTGTGGATACTCTTTAAGGAACCTTGCACCTTTCGAATCTTGGATTTTGACGATTGGAGTTTCTATCATATTCGAGTATAAAGACACATATTGCATGGGTCTAAAAGCACCCTAAAAATCCGTTAGAAATAGATAACATTCATTCCTCTAGGGATGGAGCTCGAGCTCACGAAATCCAAGGCTTTGAAAGATCATGGTTTCACCTTGTCCATGTAAGGCATACTTTGTCAAAGTTTAAAAACATTATGAATCTTCTCTATAAACCAAAGAGTCCACTCTCTAAGGAGTTTATCATTTTTTTAGGCTTTCATTCTCTCATTTTAGATTACATTCATCTCTAAATAGCCTACTTCTTTAGATTCATCCCTTCTTATGAATTCCACTCCTCATAAAGAGTCCATTATCTAGAGAGTCCATCCCTCCATCAAAGATTACACCCCTACCTAAGGAGTCCATCTCTTCCTAGGGATTCCATCTCTCGTTTGGGATTACATTCATCTCAAAAGAGTTCACTCCTTAGGGAGTCCATCCCTTCGTTTGGGATTACACTCCTTTCCAAAAGCTCTGTTTGTTCAAGATTCTATCCCTTATTAGGAATCCTTCCCTTCTTAGGAGTCTCACTCCTCCTCGAGGAGTCTATTCTCTAGGAAGTCCTCCATTCCTTAACGAATCCATCCTTTCATATGGGAGTACACTTCTTCCTAGGGTGTCCATCCCTCCTTATAGGTTATATCCTCTCGCCCAAGAATACACTCCTCACTTAGGAGTCCATCCATCCATATAGGATTACACTATTGTTTAAGGAGTTCTTCATAGAGCTATTTTTTAATCCCTTCAATCGGGATTACATTCCTCTCCAAAAAGTCCACTACCAAAGACTCCATCCCTCTTTAGGCATTTCATCCTTCCGTATAGGATTGCATTCCTCTTCAAAATGTCTACTCTTTCAAGATTCTATTCCTCACTAGGGATTCATCTCTTCTCGAGGATCTCACTCCTCCTCGAAGAGTCAATCTCTCAAAGAACCTATAACCATTTTCTTGTAATAACTTAAGGCAATATTTCTTCCGGAATACAATTCATCTAGGAATCTAAAGTCACATTCGTGTAAAAATTTACAACCACATTCTTTTGAGAAATTAGTCCTCTAAAAACTCGTTCTTCCGAGAGTTTGCTCTTCTATAAATCTCTGCTCCTCTTATAAGACTTTACAAGACACTCGTCACTTTTTTCTCAACCTTTCGGAAAGACTAAATAACAAATACAATCAATTTGAATTTCAAAATCTCACGCATCATCACGTATTATAGAGCACCTTCTTTTTTGTCTAATTAAAACAAAATTTTTTCTTTGTTACTTATTTTAAAATTAAGTATGTACATAAAATGCCGGTGTTTTGGGTAACTCAATTTCAAAAAAAATTTACATTGATTATATTAATTTTTTATTTTATTAAAATAATGTTTATATGTTATTATTCTATTTAAAATATTATACAAAAAAAAATTAAAGAAATAC